CCCCCGGCCCCCGCGGGAACGTGGCCCGGCGGGGACCTTTCGGTGCGCCTCGTCCCTCTGCCGCCGGCCACCCCGCTCAGTGCCACATTGTCCCCGGCGGCGCCCAGTGACACCCGGGGCAGGAACAATGAGCCACTTGACAGGCCAGGGCCAGGCTGGCAGCCCCGGCCCCCACCCCGGTCCACGCCGGGGCCCCCCTCGCTCTTCCCCTCTCCCACATCCCTCCCTCCGGGATCCTATTACAGCGGATAAGAGACACTAAAAGGAACAATGCACCCTGGGTAAGGCCATCTGCCACCGCTGGGGACATTCCTGGCCCCCCCCCCCCCCCCCCCTTTGGCTAGCACATCGCCCCTCTTTGTAATTGCGGTTTTTTTTTTTTTTTTTTTTTTTCCTGGAAGCCGATCAGCTGGCAGGGCTCGAGGGCTCAAGGACACCAGAGCGGGCAGGGACGGGGCGGCTGGCACCCCAGGGCCCGCTGGCACCCAGGGGTGCTGCTAGGGGGGAGTGCTTGGAGGGCTGGGGAGGCAGGAGGCACCCCAGTATGGGGGGGGGCCAGGGCTGCAACAGGGGGCCTGAACCAGGTGGGGGGCAAGGGATGCTGCAGACAGGCATCCTGCCTTACTGTCAGGGCAGGGACCAGGTCCTGCACCCCTAGCACTGCCCCATGGCCCCCCACATGGGCATCCTGCACCCACAGGCAAGTGACCCCCCCCCCGTTACCTCCCCCACTAAATCCTCCTGGGCCCTGGCGTAAGCAGCTAAAGCCCAGGCAGGCTTGGGGAAGGGGGGGCATTGGGGGGCACCCCGCTGCCGGCTCCATCTGTGCCCCCGAGTGCCCAGTGCAGCAGCTCCAAAGGAGGGGGGGAGGCAGGTGGCAGGCAGGGGGTTTGTCCCCCCGTCTGTCCAGCCAGACGTATGTCAGGCCTCCCTGCCCGCCCCCCCATCTGTTCATGGCAGCCACTCATTCGGTAAATCCCCCCCGCCTCCCTGGGGCGCTGGGCTGCTGCCGTCGCAGGCAGGAGCCTGACAGGGCTGTCGGTTCCCTTTTAAGCCCCTGTGGATTACCCTGGGCTTGGGTGCACACCAGGAGGGGTGGGAGGAGGAAGAGGAGGATGAAGAGGTGGCCGGCAGGCTGGGGTCATGGGTGCCACCACCCTGGGGGACCTACCTGCTCCTGAACATAGCCTCAGGGCTCCCCGGGCACCCTCCAAGGCTCCCAGGGCTCCTGCCAGAAGTGATGGGAGGGCTCCAGCAGCCTCGCAGCTGGCGCTCGCCCACCCACAGGGCAACGCTCCCCAAATGTCCCATCCCTCGGTGGCTGCACCTCCCCTGCTGTCACCCCTCAAAACGTATGTGGGTTGGCAGCCATGGAGGAGGTGGGGATCAGGGAAGGAGGCAGGAAGGGTGGAAAGAAGCAGGAGGAAGGTGGCAGGAAAGCAGTGGCAGAGCTTGGGGTTTTATTTGGTCCCAAGGGAGGCGGTGATGCCGGCATGAGCTCGGCATGGCACAGCAGGGCTGGGTGGGGATGCCAGGCGAGCAGCTGGGTTGGTGCAAGGGTGTGTGTACAGGCAGAGGGGTGGGTGGGCTGGCCATGTCCCCCTGCCCCGTGGGTCCCTCCACACAGCCCCTCCCGCTCACTCCAGCTGCTGCAGGAAGGCCAGGAGCCCGCAGTGCCACTCGTTGGGCTTGTCCAGGTAGCAGGCGTGTCTGGCGCCCTGCAGCACCAGCACCCGGTGCTCGGGGAGGTGCCGCAGGTTGTTCAGGCTGACTTGCCCCAGCTCTACATCCTGGTCCCCATACACAATCAGCGTGGGGGTCTGCAGAGGGGGAACACACCCTGAGCCCACCAATGGCAACCAGGTACCTGCTTCTCCTGGCCAGGGACACCCTGGGACCAGGATATGGAGGGGAGACACTTGCCCTTCTCCCCCACCCACCATGACAAGGGGAAAATGAGGCTCAGACTCCTGGGTCTCCTAACATCCCCACTTTCCCTCCTGCTACCCCACTGTCACGTTCCTTCACCATCATGTTCCCCTTTTCCAGTGGCAACGGGGTTTCTGGCCTGTTTGGTTTTTCCCTTGCCCAACCTCAGTGCCAGGGTTCCCTCCTCACCATCCCCTCCCAGTTCCCCAACCTCCCTTGATCTCCCTCCAGGCCATACTTTGATCTGGGCATACTGCTCCGCTGTGAATTTCTCGGTGCAGATGGGCGCCACGGGCACATACGCCTTGAGCAGGTGGTTGTGCTGGAAGAGGAAGGGCAGGGAGTACATGCCGCTGAGCGATGGGCTGATCACCACAGCCGGACCCAGGCACAGAGCCTCCGAAACTGCTTTCAGGAAAGCCCCCGGCGCTGGCTGGCCCACGGGTGCTGGGGCCACAGCATCCTTCGAGCGCCCCAGCCCTGAGCCATGGGAGACAGAAGTTGCCCTGTCACACTCTCTGCCGCCTCACAACCGGGAGAAGCCGGCACAGCACGATGCCAGAGTTGCCATCCCAGCACCATGAACGTGAGCAGCTGTATCGGCTCCCCCCGGCCCCCACCTTGCTCCCGGGCTGTGCTCACCACCACCCCTTACCCGGCAGATCGATAGCCACAGCCCGATAGCCATTTTCGGCCAGTGTGGCAAGCGTCTGCAGCTGAAGCCAGGTGTCGGAGGAGAAGCGAATGCCGTGCAGCAGCAGCACCGTCAGCTTTGGTGCCTGCTGAGCTGGCTGGGCTTGGCGGTAGAAGAGGGTTTGGCCTTCTACCGTGATGGTGCTCTCTGTGAGCTGTGGGGTGGCCATGCCTGGGCGGTCGGGAGAGCAGTTAGGAGGCGTTGAGAGGTGGAAACGGGCCCGCTGCAGCCTAGCAGAAAGGTCGGCCCCGGTGGGATGCCGGCGTCCCGGCGTCGAGGCCCGGCAGTGGCAGGAAGGCAGGCAGGCTGTGGTGTTGGGGTACTGGCATGGGGAAGGAGGGGGTTACACTGGCATCACGTTCTTTTTGGGGGGCACCGGCGGGGAGCCGGCCCCGGGCTGGGTGCGCGGGGCCGTTCGCTCGCGCCAGGCGTGCTCACGGTCCGCCCCTGCCTCAGTTTCCCCACCCAGCGCTGGGACGGCGGCCCTTACCTGCTCCTCCGCCCCCAGTGCCGGCCGCCGCTCGCCTCCCGCTCCCCGCCGCCCCACGGAGCTGGGGGTGCTGTGCCCCGGGTCCAAAGGCCGGCGGGGCGGGGCGCGGGGGAGCGGTGGCACCGCCGCCCGGAGCGCAGGGCCCGGGGCCGCCCTGGGAACCGCCGCCGCCC